AGAGAGAGAGAGAGAGAGAGAGAGAGAGAGAGAGAGAGAGAGAGAGAGAGAGAGGATATTCCCCTAAAAATGTCCCCAGCACTCATGGATAATATGTGTCCCCCCTCCTTTTATTGAGATTTTTTTTCTGGAGTCCAGACTGTCCTCAAACTCATATTCTTCCTGCCTCAGCCTCCGAAGTGCTGAGATTACAGATGTGTGTCACTACACTCAGCTTCTACTAAACATTTTAGGAAAGAGATACCAGTTGTATACAAAGTCTTTCAGAAGGCAGAGGAGGAGGCCACTCTCTTAACTCACTCGGTGTCAGCATCATCACACAGGCCGCCATAACCAACAGTATTCAGGAAATATGGCAAAAACCATTCAGAGAATATTATCAAAACAAGTCCAGCAGTGAATATACAGGATTGTACACTAGGATTAGTGATTTTATTCCAAGAATGCAACATTGGTTTATCATTTGAAAATCAGTTATAAAGGGCAAAATGTTAATAGAATAAAGGACAAAAACCTTATGCTCCTGTAAATTTATGCAGAAAATGGATTGGATAATATCAAGTGCCTAATTTTTTTAAAAAATTGGAATAACCTAGGAATAAAAAGAAAATAGCTGACAAAAACCATAGTGGCATTTCACTTCATGATGGAAGACTGGATGCTCTCTCCCCCTAAAACTGGGCACAAGGCAAGGGTGTCCAGTGTCCCCACTTGGACATACTGAAGTCCCACAGAGGAGACCCACAGAATGCAGGGGGAGACTGTTCGTGCGACATAATCCTGACAACCACACAAATAAGTTGGAATAATTTTAATGGAGATGTGGGGTGTGACACCAAGACATGATACCAGTCATTTCCATGTACTAGCAACCGGAAACCTGGTATCTCTTTTAAAACTATTTCATTCAAAGTATTATCAAAAGGAACAAGCCTTAACAAAACTGGTGCAAATCTGCAGACTAAACACAACAAACTGTGGCTGAGAGAAGTTGAAGACAACCTGTTAAATAGAAAGATAAATGTCTATATATTGGAAAGCTACCATGAGAACAATGTCCCAGGCTGATCTACAGTCTGATCTTATTACATCTAGTGGCCTGATGTTGTGGTTTAGATCTGGGTATCCCCCAAAAGCCTGGTGTTTAGAGGTAGGGTTTTTGGAAGGTGACTAGATCTTGAGGACGCTGTACTCAGCAATGGATTCACCAAATATAGAGAGCCCTTCCCAGTCCTTGTCTCAACCCAGGAAGTTTATATTTGTGATCCCATGAAAAGTTATTGGAATTCTAGCGAGTTAATTCCAATCTGCCATTTCCAGTGCAATCCATGGTGAGAATAAAGACACTAAGGCATATTTGTAGTTATGGGGAGCCAAGGGGTCCTAAGTCCAGCCACGATGATGGCCAGCTGGAGCAAAGGCCTCCACCCAAGGATGAACCTGGGTTTTATTCATTCATGAAGAAAGGAGTGGCTTGAGGATGAGTGACTGTGAGAATTGTGGAAAGTAGGTGAGTGCTGTGAGCTGGGCTAGGTAGGAGGCCTGAAATCACCTCGGCAATTCAGAGAGAAGGATCTGCAGAAAGAATAATCTGCATAACACGACTGAGATAGTATCTGATGTTTTGGGGTTGGTGCTTCAGCTCTGATGTGTAATCTTTCAAGCCCCAGGAAGTCATAGCCTCTATCTTGAGGCTCGATCCCAGTGTGGAGCACTGGAACTACATTCCACCTCCTCCTGGTCCACACAAGGGAAAAACAGGAGTCCAGGAAACACGCCTGCTGTCTTCAAAGACTTCCCCAGGGCACCTTGGCTAGACCAATATGCATTGCTTAAAGCCAACTGAAGGGATAAGGAAAAGGTCCTAGCCAGTTCTGTATATATCAATACATGGAGATATGGATAGGTTCAGCCAAAATAGAGACAATTGCTCCTCCTCCAAGGAGAGTCGCCCAGGTGGTCCTCCACCAGTAATAAAAGAGGGACCGCTGCTATGGGGAGCTGAGTATAGACTCACTGCCGAAAGCAGGGGTGTCTCTTAGAAACTGGCTGCTGTGTACAACAGCACAAGCCTATAGCCCAGCAACCTGGGAGGCTGAGGTGGGAGGATCCTGCCAGCTTGTGCACCACAGGGTGGACTCCAGCTCAAAACAAGACCTACATACATCCCTACACATGACGCTTGCCCACCCCCGGTTTCTACCCAAAGAGGAATGAAACAGATGTACACGTGTCCAGTGGCCTGGGAGGGAGGGTCCTGCCCCATGGAGGTCTTTCCCAGGATCCAGGACACCTCAGGAGCCATATCGCAAAACTGACTAAAATGGCCTTGAGTTTCAAGTAACATAAGTTCATGTCAACAGCTCCTCTCCATTGCATGCATTTCATTTTCAGGAGAAGGACAACATCCCAGCTTCGTCTCCACAGGAGAAAGACAGCATCCCAGCTTCGCCTCCACCTTCTCCGGGGTAAGTGTTAGCTTGCGGGAGTTGGCCCATCTGTCTGCACAACAGCTATGGTCTCTTCTCAGCTGAAAGGGCTGTGCAAAATGATTCATCTGAGATGAGATATTTTAAATGAGGGGATGACATAATAGGACTACAGTTGTCTCACTTCACATTATTAACACAGCCGTGTAGCTTATTGTGCAAACTAAAAGAACAATACTGTCTTCCTCACAACTAACTGAAACTACTGCACAAAAACAAGCATGTGCTTATTTATTTTTGACATCCGTATGTGAACAGGAGGGAGGTCATGCGTCCCGCCACTCTTCCTGTGGTCTCTGGTGGCTCTGGTCTAGATGCAGAGCGGAGGGCAGCGCCTGTGCCACACGGATATGTTCGTGGGTGAGCAGAGTATATACTTTTGCAGAACACACAACTTTCACACCAGAATCCCACAGGCAAACCAGCTTCCCCCAGAGGTCAGAGTGTACCCTGTCCTCACGATGAACTATATGGCCGAGAAGAGTCACCTTGTCATGAAGCACCCAGGGACAGGAAGTATCCTCGTGCCCACCATCTTACCTGTGTTCCCCACTGCGTTTTCCTCAGCCTGCAATAGGCACAAGTGACTTTCTGTTTTAAAAAGCACATAACATAATCTCCAGCTTCAGTGTTTTGATGTTGCATCCCCGCCCTCTGATCTCAGTCACTTTCATCTGGAGCCATTTTTACAATTCAAAATAAAAATGAAATTGAAAATTAAAAGTTATTTACTTGATGCTCTTGGCCAAGCACGCCCACACCCATGCAGTGCACACGCATGTGCACCCACACATGCACATACCGCGCACCTTCCCTTCCCTCGCACTCTTCGCTTCCCAGCCCTTCCCAGCTCACTGAGGAAACCCTAACTGCTGAGCAAGCTGCCCAGGCTGCTCTGAGCTCCCACAGGGTTGCCGTGCCCACAGCAGCCAAGACTGCTCTGTGCCTCTCCAGCTGCCACTTGCAGGCTGCAGCTCCTGGGGGCTTTGCCATGACCTGGGAAGGTGATTCTGCTGAGGGTAGGTCACGGCCTCACCAGGGAGGGGACCCAGGAGGCAGCAGCCAGAGACGGGGTTCAGTGGAGAACCTGTGGGGGATGCCCCCTTCCCTCCACAGCAGACGGAAGCCACTCCTCCCTGTTCTGAGACCTGCTCCAGGTCCCCTGGAGGCCCCGAAGCGAAACGGACAAGAGTGTCCCTGCATCTCCGGTCCCCACCACAAGTCTGCACTTGGCAAGGAGCCAGCTGGTTTCTTTCTCCCCAGCTACTTGGATCACGGGACAACAGATACACTAGGGAGGGGTGTAGTCAAAACTGCGACATGCTTACTCATTTTGATTTTAATACAACAGCCACATGTAAAATAGAAATAGCCTTCATGTCCACATTCTGTAACAGCCCAGCGGTAACGACAGAACAGCAGCAGGGTGCTTGTGTGGCACCCTTTTTCTATTCAAATGCCAAAACATAAAGCTTCGTAGCCACTCCCCTAGGAGTATGTCACAGGCATCTCCTCAGGACACCACCTTAGGTTTGTTCCTTCTCCCCAGTGACTCTCGTCTCCACATGTGGCCAGGATGCGCCACAGTGCAGTCAGCGCCTGACCGTTACTGGTCGTGCAGGTTGTGGCCAGCGTTGCCTTTGCCAGTGGAGATTCAGGAAGCATCTTTGAGTCTCTCCCGTCAGGTGTGGGTGGTTCATTTTGGAGGACATCTAAAAGTCTAATGGCATGTGTATTTTAAATCTAGATTTCTTCTGGTTGTTTTCCACAAAGGTTAGAGCAATTCTGACTTCTTTCCATTCTCTTACTCTGTCAGCGCAGGTTCTGCTAAAGTTAAAACTACAAATATAACTTTCCAGATCTAATTGGCTTTGACTGGGATTCTACTTTCAGGAACCAGCCAGGACTTCCTGAAATGGTTCGGAAAGCCCTGCCTACCAAAACAGGTTCTTTTATGTCAGAAGATTGGAAGTGACTGCAGCAATGTTTGCGTGGCTGTGTCCCGTTGGCCTTATGGTCATATGGGTAGCTCTCAGTCCCTGACTGGCTCGCTGGCTGGGTGTAGTTGCTGGGTTGCAAGTGTGTGCCTTTAGGTTAGGATACATCTGTTCACACATCAGACTAGCTTACATTTCACTGCGTGCCCAGGCCACCTTGGGCCAAAGATCGTTACCCATGTATACAGACAAGCTTATGTCAGCCTTAATTCAATTTAACAATACTAACAGTACAGTTTTGTCCAAATAAAATGTGATATTTCAATATGCATTTCTTTACTAGCAGTACAAATGAACATTTAAAAAATTTGTTTGGGTCATTTTACATTTTTTTATGTGTAAAATACCTTTCAAAGGTTTGAAATGTTAAGAGCTCTTTGCATGTTAAGAATATTCATTTTTCTACATTTTGAATTATGTTTCTTTCAGGGCACATTTTTCAGAATTTGTCTATGGTGTCTTTTCACTGTGTAGAGGCTATAACTTTCCTGAAGCCATATTTATAAAGACTTTCTTCTCTCTTGCTCAGAAAGCCTTATGTAAAGGTTATGCAAACATCTTCTCTTGCACTTTGTTAATATTATCATAATATTCATTTGGTTCCTTTACCTTTTGATTTGCAAGCCATCTTGAATTTATTTTTGTATTTGGAGAGACAGGCGCTAAGGTTAAGCTACATCAACAAAATAATGATTGGCTACTACTTCCTAAGTACTAAGTACCTCACCTACCCAGCGATGTGAATGGGCTTTTTTCTGGGCCCAGGTTTGTTTCTGGATGCTTGTTTCTGTGCCATTTACTGTGTCCTTAGCAGCTCCATTCCATTTTAATTATAGGACTTCATTTAGCCATTTTAATATCCAATATGCAAATTTCCCTTTTTGGATTGTTTTTCATTTTTCATTATTTTTGACAACTCTTACACATTTATTTTTCTATGTAAACTTTAAAATAATTTTTGTTCAGATCCAAGACACTTGACATTCAGGCTGGAGTTGCATTAAATTATACATCTTTCCTTGGCAGGGGCCAGAGCTGTCCCCGGCATCTCAGCTATCCAAGGGGAAGAGTAAAGACCTCAGAGGCCTCCACCCCAGGTCAAGGAACTAGATGTGGCTGCTCAGGCTGAGCTGTGCACTGGGAGCTCCATGCCTTTGCATGAATTTCAGTGGGTTGGCTCAGACCTTCCTGGGCAGAACAGTTGGGGCCTGTGTCCACCAGGCAACCATGCCTCTCGCTCTGCAGCCCAAAGTGACAGAGGCATCCTTGGGTCATAAGACAGCTTAGGATTTGCATACCATTAGCCGTTTTCTCAAGTGCTGAGATTTACTTCAAGTTTTCTTTAGTTTAAAGTGAGGAAGTACAGTTCCTATGGAAAAAATATTTCCTTTAAAACAACCCAATCATTTTCTAAAACGTTTTTTAGAAACTTGATTGAAAATACTAGTGTGTAAATCCTTCTCACTTTGAATTTCAGTTCAAAGAGTTATCTAACAGTGGTTCTATAAGTAATATCCAAGAACACCTTCTCTTCCACCTCTTTATGGAAAGATTGGTATATAGCTTGCATGTGTCTGGGTGTGGTGTGTAGTCTGCATATCTATACAAAATCAACCACAAATCCAAGTTTAAGAGGCAAAACTTTAACTCCTGCAAAAAAGTAGACAATATCTTTATAATCTTGGGTAAGGTCAAGTTTTCTTTGATAGACAACAAAAACCTTATTAAAGAAAAAAAAAGGAATGGGGCTTCATCAGAATTTAAATTTTGCTGTATAAAAGTCACCATGAAGAAAGTGAAAATATAAGCAACAGAATGGAACAGAAATTTGCAAATCGTATACTTGTATCTACTAGCAGTTTTAACTCAGTAATAAGAAGAAACAATCTGATTTTTAAAACTGGCAAAAGATTTGAACAAACTGTTCACCAAAGAAGATATACAGATGACAAACCAAACAAAACAAACAAAAAACTTGAAGGCACTCACTAGAGGAGCAGAATCAATATATAATATATGTTTAATTATACAAGGGATTTATAGGTAGCCTCACCAAATCAGAAGTGGAAGAGTGTCACGGCTGCCTGCAGAATCAGAGGCAAAAGAATCCAAAATGGTCACCTGTGCAACAGGTGAGAGCTGGAAGATCAGTAGGAAAAGAAGGTCAGAGGCCTAGAAGCTCACCTCAGTGTCATGGCTGGCAGTCTAGGTTGGAGGCTGAAGGTCTTCTCTGGAAGCCTGTAGGAATTGGAGACCAACATCCAAAGGCAATAGTGAGGCCCTGAGCGCCTCCAAAGGAAAGGGGAAGACTCTTTCCTCTTTCTCTTTTTATTCTGTCCAGGCTGCAAGTGTACTGGTTGGTGCCACCCACATGGGGGTGGGTCTTCCCCCTCAGCTTGAACCCCGCATGTCAGTCATCCACAGGTACACTTGGATTTACTAATCTGCCAGGAGGTTCTTAGGTCAAGTTGACATATCACAGTTAATGATCACAGGCGCTCAGCAGTATCTGAAATTCTGGGAATGCAAATTAAAACCACAATAAGCTACCACTACACAACCATCGGAATGGGTATAACGAAAAAGACAAAAGCCCCAGGTGTGGTGACCATGTGGGGACTGAAGCCTGTCACACTGCTGCTGGGAAGTGAAATGTTACCGTGGTGGCCAACAGCATATTCTGTTCACTCAGGCGTCCCACTCCAGGTCCTCCCAGAGAGCAGTGGGGACATATGTCATGCATAATGACCGCCATAGCAAAGAACCCCACTTCAGACAATTTGAGCAACAGGAAGTTATTTCTCACTGTCCTGGAGGTTGGAGTCTGAGACCAGGCTGTGGCCAGGGCTGTTCCTCCTGATGTCCCTTTCTGGCTGGTAGATCTCCCCCATGTCTTCACAGGATCAGCCCTCTGTGCAGGCCTGTGTCCCGATCTTCTAATAAGGACCACAGTCCTATTGGACGAGGGCTCACCTAGCAGCT